AGGGGACCCACACCCTGCCTGCTCTGGCCACCCCCGGCACCACCAGCACGCTGCCGCTGCCACCGCCACGTCCCCAGGGTGTGTGGCCAGTGCTGGCAGCGGACACCCCACCAGCACCAGGGAGGGGTCTTGTCCCACGGCCCCAGCGTCCAGAGAAGCACAAGAGGGCAGTAGCATGTCAGAAGGGGGAGGTCCAGCAGGAGGATGATGACGGCGAAGGCTGAAGGCTCCAGGTTCACCTTTAATGCTGCATAGAGTCCAGCAGGTCTGTGCCCATGGCCATGCTTGGGGACCCAACCAGGGGCAGTCAGGTGCTCCTCACCCCAGGCAGGGTCCAGGCACAGCCACGGGGGTCCAGCAGCAGCACCAGGGGAGGGGGGACATGGTGGCTCAGGGGTCACTGCCACCCTCGTCCTTGCTGGGCAGCCCATTGAGAGGGCTCAGCGCCGGCCGGTTGCTCTCCTTCAGCCGCCGCACGCGGTAGCTCTCGTAATGGACGTTGTGAGTGATGTCCTTCAGGTCCTGCAGGTGGGACCTGCCCGGGGCAGCAGTGGGGAGGAAGGCCATCAAGCCACCATTCTCCCCACCACTGTCCCCATTGTGGGATGCCGACACCCCCCTGCCACATTCCCCCCTCACCGGATCAGCAGGTCCCGCAGGAGAGGGAATTCGCAGTGCGCCATGTTCTCCACTGCAAAGCAAGGCAGAGCGGGCAGCGAGGAGGGCAGGGTGCAGGCAGGAGGGCAGGAGGGGATGCCCGGGGAGTGCATCTTCGCAGGCTCCGGGTACCACCAGAGCACTGGCATAGCTTGACACTGCACTCCCCAAGCAGGGATGCACCCATGGGTGCTGCTCCCTGCACCCCCATCGGTCCTCCCTGTACCTGGGGAAGGCTGGGGGTGCAAGGAGCTCCACTCACCTTCAATGATGCCCCACTTGGTCTTGCGGCCCAGCACCCGCTTGCCATTCACCTGGTGCTCCTGGTCTGCCCCCACCACGGCAAAGGGAATCTTCTCCTGGCAGCGCAGAGGATTGTGCTCACCCTGAGGTGCTGCTGGTCTCCCCTGGAGTCATCTCTCCCCCACCATGGTCCCCAGGGGCTGGCATCCCCAATCCCAGCATCCCGGTACTCACCCGGATCCTGTCGTTCAGCGCCCTGTCATCTGGGTCCTGGTCGAAGTCTTCCTGCGGGTAGACGCTGATGGCATGGGTCTTCAGGTCCTCCTGGATCTATGGGATATGGGGCATAAGATGGGACTGGGGGGGACATGTGGCACCCCAGGAACCCCCTGGGGGATTTTTCCTCACCTGTTGCTTGAACTCTGCCCGTTCCTCCAGGGTGAGCGTGTCGGCTTTGGCAATCACTGGCACCACGTTGACGATCTTACTGAGCCGCCGCATAAACTCCAGGTCCAGTGGGCGCAACCTGTCAAGGACCACCATCACTCCAAGGTGACCCCACCACCATCACCTTAGGATGACCTGCTCCACCAAGCAGGGAGCACCCATGGGTGCTGTGAGTGGAGACTCACCAGTGACCCGTGGGGGGGATGAAGTAGATGCATCCATGGACCCGAGTGTCTGGGATCTTCCTCTTGCGGGTGATGAGGATCTCCTCACGCAGGTATCTCTCATACTGCTCATTGATGTATTTGATGATGGGGTCCCAGCTGAGGATGAGGAGTTGGGGGACAGCATCTGAGCTCAACTCTCCCTCCCCCCAGAATTGCCACCCACCAAGCCAGGATGCTGCACCCCATTTTGTCCTACCAATTCTCATTGTTGATTTGGTCCCCGAACCCCGGCGTGTCCGTCACCGTCAGCTTCATCTTCACACCCTTCTCCTCAATGACTATGGGGCAGAGATGTGGGTCAACAGGAACCAAGCATCAGGGAGAAGCAGGGAATCGGGTCCCAGCCCAGACCCCTGCTTCTCCCGAGGGTTGGTGGGACATGACCTCGTGGTGGTGACCTTACCATGGGTGACAGACTGCAGCTGCACCGTCTTGGGGATGCGTTCTTCCTGGCTGGGCTGTGAGGCCTTGCGGCTCACCTTGGACTTGAAGAGCGTGTTCACCATGGTTGACTTCCCCAGCCCACTCTGCCCTGTGGAAACACCAGCAGCTCTGGCTTATCCCACCCAATAAATTAATACCCCCAGGGTGATAACACCTTGGTACCAATTCAGGAGCATCCCAGAGGTTGCGATAGCTCTGGTTTGTCGCACCCCAATAAATTTATTCCCCAGGATGATAACACCTTGGTACTCATTTAGGAGCATCAGTGGTTGGTATGAGCTCACCCACTACATTATGGGGTACAGGATGTTGCTCCTCTGTAATTTACTGCTGATTACACCTCTTCAAATCCCGTAAAAGCAAGATCTCCCCCAGCACAGCGGCACCAGCGCCAGGATTCCCACCCCAACCATGAGCAAACCCCACACCCAGCACTCACCCACAACCATGATGTTGAACTCAAAGCCCGTCTTCATGGTTTTGATTTTCATCTGGTCAAGCACAGCTTCGATTCCCACGTAACCAAAGAGCTGGCAACCTGATGGCTCAGACGCTGTGGTGAGGGACATCTCCTCCAGCACAGCTGGCGGCTCCATGCTGCGCTCTTCGGGCTCCAGGCTGCTCCCTGCATGGGTGGGCAAAGGCGGGTGAGCCTGGTCCCCTTCCCTGTTGCCCCAGCAGCAGATACTCGGGCAAGCACGCAGCCCCAGCACATTCCTGGCAGCCAGTCAGGCTCGGCATGGCAACAGAGCATGCCACCCCACCAGCACCCCATGGGTGGAGGAGAACAGGGAGGTACCGTAGTGGCATCCTTGGGGTGGCTGTGCCACTGTCCCACATAATATCACTGGTCACTCTGGAAGGTGGTGGCATCAGGCACTGCTGTGACCACCAGCACCCTTCACTCAGCCCACGCTGCCACCCACACTGAGGCCACCTCCCATAGCACCCCCCAGCGCATCTGGGGGGCTCTGGGCAGGACGCACTACTTCATGTCTACTCAGGCACCGGCCCCCATCAGGGCGAGGGGCCAGGGGGGGGGGGGCCCCCCGCCTGTGTGCCGGGGGTGCTGGGGAGGGGCAGCACAAGCACTGGCACAACCCCAAGCCCCAGGGACACACAGGGTTTAACCGGTGTGCTCAGACCGTGCCTTAGGCTGGGGGCCACTGGAGCCCCACACCCACCCTAGTCCTTTGTGCAGCAGCCTGGGGGGCCCCCCAAGTCCTTTCTGCCTCCTCCTCCTCCTCCCCGGCACGGCCATTGTTCAGGTCCTACCTCAGCACTGTGGTGCCCTTGCTCAGCACCCCGCTACGGTTGGGGGGGGTCCCCCAGGCCCCATCAGTGTCCCCATCATCATCAGCGCTGCAGCCTGGCCCCCTCCCCTCCACCAGCCGCCGGCTGGCACCAACCCCAGCTCCAGAGAGGCTGCCGCTCCCACACATGACCAGCATGGCAACATCCCTCCTTCCTCCTTCCCTCCCTCCCTCCACCCAACAGACCCCTCCCCACCACAGCCAGGCCCCCGTGCCACAGTTGCCAGTTGCCCAGCGGGGTGGGGAAGGTGCCCATCTGGCTTTGCCCACATGGCACATGGCACTGCTCGGCCTCCAGCCAGGCCGGTGCAGATGGAGACCCCAGCACAGGGATGCCCCCCCCACTCCCATCACCCCCATGGGTGAGTGCAGTGCTCAGCTGTGGGTACCATCCCTGCCAGCACCCACCAACCCCCTGACACTGGGGACCACCCTGCACCGTGCCCCCCCACAAGGGGCACCCGTGCCCAGCCACAGCACAGGCATAGCAGGGTGAGATGAGGGGTGGCAGCCCTGCCACCTTCCCCACTGCCGCAGCGCCCCACGGCGCCTGCGTCCCCGCCATGCTGCAGCCTCCCTGCCTGTTACATATGTGCTGGCCAGTTCTTGGCATCAGTGAGGCTCAGGCGACAGCTTGCTCATGGCCAAGGCTGTCAAAGCAGCAAAGCCACCCCACCGAGCCACAGCCCTGCTCCACGCAGCCTGGAGACAAGGGACATGCAGGCAGGGTCTGGCTTCAGCCAGCCCAGGGGTACCAGGAGATGCTGGAACCAAACTCATCTGTTGCTGCAGCAACAGCATCCTGGCAGGGAGGGCACCCAGCACCCTGTGCCCACTGGTGGGTGCCAACCTGCTGCCTCACTAGGGTGATGGCAGGAGTGCAGCTGAGCAGTGATGCCCAGGAAGGTGGCGGGGTTGGGGACAGCAGCATCACATGCCCCAGCTCCCCCCGCACCCCTGTGGGTTGGGGTGTTCCTCGGAAGTGGCGAAACAGCCACAGACTTCCTGGTGACAGCGGTGCACAGGAAGGGTGCAGGCAGGACATGGTGCTTGCCTCCCCCTCCAAATTCCCCCAGGATGCTCCTCAGGAGCTCAGCCATCACCAACCGCTTGGTGCTGTGGGGTGCCACCGGCAGCACCAGACAAAAACAACCGGAGGGGGGGGTGTGGGTGGAGCTGTGGGGTGTGTGGCAGTGCTGGGTACTGCACCCACAAACACCTCCCTCATGGGGCTGGAGACCCCCACACCAAAAAGTCCCATTGGTGATGGCTGGCTACCAGGCGGGCATGAGGGAGCTCTTTGGCATCACCACACACCTCCCGGGCTAATGGTTCCTGCAGCCAGACCTGTCGGAGGACTCATTAAAGATGCTCTTATTTTCCAGGCAGGGACAAGTAATCGTGGGTCTGTGGTCCCCTCCACAGATTTAATTACTGATGCAGGGCTAATTGGCCGGCTCCCTGGGGAAGTCTGTAATAAGGTTCTGGAGGTGGAGGGTGCTGGGAGAGGATGAGCCAGGAGAGGAGCTCCCATCCCGACTGCTTGCCACGGCACTGAGCTGGGCACCGGATGGGGAGAACATGGCTCTGGACCAGGTGGGCACAAGGGAGCTGGTCCCTCTGGCAAAATGATGGGGGATTTTGGGGGTGCAGAGGGTGAAGCTCCCACCGTGCCAGCGAGCTCACCACAACTCTACCTGCCTGAGTGTGACCCAGAAACACCAGCACCTCTCCCAGCACTGAACGCAACCCAAGCAGACAGTGGTGACAATCCCCAACCACGGCTGGACCTGAAGCCATCCTGCTCAGCTGGCTGCGGCACGGGCATGAGCCACGGCACGGGGATAGGGACTGCCAGCAGTGAGCAGAAGCAGAAGTGAGCCAGCAGGAAAAACCCTGCGCCTGCCCACAGGGGACCAAGAGGCTCACCCTGCCCCGGTGCCTGCACCCCCTTGCCCGCACACCACCCTGCCCAGTGCCACTGCAGCCGTCCCTACCTGGGCGAGCCAGCTGGAGCTGGGGCTGCTGCCGTCGAGAGCTGGTCACCAAGCTGGTCACCGGGGCCAAATGGCTCCTGGGGTGCAAGGCGGGGAGAGAGGCCGCAGCCCACGGCTCCTCCTCTGCTCCTCCTCCTCCTCGCCCAGGGCCCTGCGTGGGTGACCCGCGTGCAGGCTT